TTCGTTATCGATGAGCTAGAGGAATTCCGGCGCGGGGTGGAGCTAGTTGATCGATCCGGCAAGAAAAGCAGATGTGATAACTTTGGGTCGGATTTACTAAGATTTGAAAGATATTTGACAATTTATTTTGAGAAGCCAGATTTTTCGCACCTGTTGACGACTATGGGGGTCTCTGCGTCTTAATATGAGCTCTGTAGGCGCACTTCTACTATCGAAACACTTTGGGGAACCAATTTCTTGTCGACATGAAAAATGAATGTTCAATTTTTCGAGAAATGCCTCCAGAAGCTCTCTCTTTCGACTCTGAGCACTTTCGTGCGTGGAAGGAGCTCTACGAGGTTCTCGGCGGTGACCAGGTTGACGGTTCGCCGCCGGCGCCAGTTTTCTGTGCGTTGTCTTGCGGTGAGTTGCGTTTACCTGCGCTGGCTTGCATGCAACACGTACCCTGCACCAGACAGGTTGTACCACATGAGTTCCCGTTCAAACAAGCAAATTCACCACCCCGCCCCCGGTTATTCGGTACCCCTGAAATAACAAATCTTACACACGTGTGTGCCCCATCGTTCATCTTGAATGCGAAATCAAACCTTCCAAACCGTACCACTTACCGACCCCCCTTCCCGTCCCTGTCAAATGACACTATGCACACACAGCCGTTTGCTACAAAACCAAAAATGCCCGAACACGTGTTAAGTAACAACGCGACGGTTTTCACAAGGGCGCGCCACCCGAACCACCGCGCGCCCGCGCGTCCGCGCCCTGCGCGTCCGCGCCACCTGAAATCCCCGCGCGTCCGCGCCCTGCGGGACGCGCTGGGAAGTCCCAAGCGGTCACCGCCACCGCGGCCGCGTCGGTCGCGCCAAACTAGCTGGTCGCTCTGCGCGCGAGGTTGCGCGCAGGCGCAAGTCAACGATAGCCAATCAACGCAATTGCCGCAGCGTGGGTTTTGCAAACCTAATTGTGGGTGGGCGGGCGGGGCGATTGCGCGAGCAGTGGACTTGTCAACTCGCTGCGGACTTGAAACGTTGCACTACGTAGGTTAGACCAAGTATACTGCGCCACAAATCTTGCACCACGTACCTTTCGCGACGTGAGCCCTCTTGAGTACAATGATCTCAAAACCCCTCGTTTTATTCGAACTGTAAATTCATACCGTCCCATGGAGTGACGTTGCGCCCCCACCCCCTCACCCCTCACGCCAGTCAACAAATAATATGCGCGCACCCGATTATCAAACACAATCAGTTTTCAATATCAAAATTCCCGAAGCACAAACCAAAAACTCAGTAGCTTCGCTACACGACGTTTCAAAAAGTCTGCGCGTGCTCGTGCGACCTCTTACGGATACCAGCGGCTTGCCAACATGTCTATCGAATGCGACCGAACGGGCCGCTCACGAACACACGTCGGAACGATTCGGACGCCCTTGCGCGCTTGCTGGGAAGGGTGGGGGACGGGGGGTCGGGCCCTGTCAAATAACACTGCGCGGGCCATTCGCACCCGTCGGCCGCGCGCGCATGTCGAATTCCTTCCGGGACCTTCGCAACGACACGTGGACACAATCATCCGCACAGACGTGATCAGCATCGGCGCCGTCATTGGCCTTGCCATCGTCATCGTCATCATCGCCACCAACATCGTTCCAATCATCATCGCGTCTGCTTGCGTCGACATCGCCGCGATACCGCGCCCACCAGAAGTGCCCGCGTGTCCGCGCGGCCTGCGGGACGCACTGGGGGTCCCCGGCGATTCGCGCCACCGCGGCTGCGTCGGCCGCGCTGAACTAGCCAGCCGGTCTGCGCGCAAGGCGTGGGCGCGCTGGCGTGGCCGCGGCGACATGCCAGCCAGCGCCGAGCAGGCATCGCCATCGCCGCCGCATTGGCTGTGCAAACGAAGTTGCGGGTGGGCGGTTGGGATGAATGTGCGAGCAATGGAACTGACCAATCACAAGTGAGCATGCGTTAGCTGCACCACGTAGCTAGCACTTTGTATACTGCGCAACATATATATATATATATATATATATATATATGTATATATATATATATGTATATATATCTATATATATATATATCCTCTCGGAAAACATGCGGCCCACCACCACCGCCCTGGAAATATCGATCCCTCCTGGGTACAACAGTTCATTTTCGATTCTGCCCCATTCTTCGCTTGGCATGAAGTCGTGCCAGATCAGGGAGTGCTGTCATCGCCCCAACCTTCATCCCTACCAAAGAATACTGAGCGCGCGCGCTCTTTCCTAACAAATCGTACATGGCCCACGATTCTTTGCAACACACGGGACAAAACCGACGCCGCGCATCATCACGCGCGCGCGTTTCTCGAAACGCATAAACACCCAATGGTGTCGCATCATATTTTCTCACCAAAAAATGCGCGCGCCTTGGCGAATTCTTACAATCGGCGATGGTGTTTTCAACATGTTCGAGAAATTCGACGCAGCAAGCCTTTCGCACTAGCGTGTCGGAATGGGCCGACAGTCTTTGCGCGCTTGCTGGGCGGGGGCTGGAGGGGGGAGGCACGACCCATGTCAAAGAACACCATGCGGGCCACTCGCGCCCGTCGGCCGCGCGCGCATATCAAAATAGTTGCAAAAAACCGTCATCAATGACACGTGGACGCCATCATCGTCATCGGCGTAGCCAGCATCGGCGCCGTCATTGGCCGCGCCGTCGTCATCGTCACCATCGCCACCATCATCGTTACGACCAGCATCGCGTCAGTTGGCGTCGACGTCGCCATGATACCGCGCCCGCCCAAATCATCGACTCGCACTGAAGTTCCCGCGCGTCCGCGTTGCCTGCGAGACGTTCTAGGAAGTCCCCGGCGGTCAGCGCCACCCTGGCCGCGTCGGTCGCGCCAAAATAGCTGGCCACTCTGCGCGCGAGCTTGCGCGCGGTAGTGCGGCCGCAGCGATACGCCAGCCAGCGCCAAGCAGTCATCCCAATTTCCGCCGCAGGAACTTTCCGAACCAAGTTGCGGGTGGGTGTGTGGGGTGATAACGAGAGTAGTAGAACTGTCATCTTCAAGTGCTGCAAGGCGAACTGCACCACGCACGGCGAACTCCAGAATACGCTCGACAATAAACCGTTTGGGGTCCACGCTGGCTAATGTGTATATATGAATGCGCATAAATAGACATGCTTTGGGAACCCTTACAGAGAATCTGCTGTTTATCGGAGGGGTAGTTCTCGCCACAACGCCACGCACTATCGTCATAACATCATCCAGAACCTACACGGATCGAGGACAGCACGTTTTCGAAAAGGGGCTGGCCATTGAGACTCCTTACAAACATGGCCACTGGCGCAATCAACATGTACGTGCAACGGCTGCACGGGTGGAGGGCGGCTTCCTTACAACACGCGGCTCTCGCTTGAAGCTGTCTGGTGTGATGGCCAAGCGCGACATGTTGCCCAACAGCTACACGTGCAACCAGACCTAAGCCAGAAGAACACCCTGCAATGACATGAGACCCCCCGCCGGCCAAAAACACAGACCATTCAAGGGCACCCCTCCCCCAGGACGCACAAGAACGCCCAGCCAGCGCGAAGAGCACCAGGATAACCTCCCCGAACCGACCTCGATCTCATACCTCGGTCCAGCAGCGGCGCGTATGCAAGGCGATTCCTTCTCGGAGCGGGGCTGCCGTCCAGGCACCGCGCTGCACCTACAACGCCAGCAGCCTTGTCACACTTTCTTGGTAGAGACCGGAGGGTGGAGGGCGTTGTTCCCTCCAGAAAGAGAAACTTGACGGGTGGACGAGCTCTAAGGGTGGAGGGCGTTTCCTTTAAAAGGCACCGTCTTGGTACAGCTCGAATGGTGGAGGGCGTTTTTTTACTCTTCAGCATGGAGCTCCCGCCTCCACTGCGAGCCCACGGGGCGCTCGTCGTTCAGTGGGGGGCGCTTCGCGCACCGAAGCACATGTAGGGACCAGTGAAGGGGGGGGGCTCGAGGAAGGAGGGTGCGCTACAAGATCGTCGATCTCATCTCGGGTCTGTTCGGATCTTCTTCATCCTCCTCGTCCCTCTCTGCGCACTCCCTCCTCCCCCCCCTGCTCCTCTTCCCGCCTCCTGATTCTACCAATCCTCCCCCTCACCCCCTCCCTCCCTCCGCTCCTCCCTGTCATCACCCCTTCTGCAATTGCACAGTCTGAGTACTGCTCTCCTTTCTCCCCTGAGAGGTGCTCCGCGCTCTCCGAGTATGGTTCTGGCAACAAGGATTGGGAACACAACGTTTTGTTTTGTTTCCTGTGGTAGGTGTTTTAGCACTCCGACTGCTGTCTGTGCTTCAAAACTGTGACCCCGCTGCAGCGCTGGCCTCGTTGTCGGATCGGCGCTTTGCTTCCGTCGTTCAAAGTGGCGCTCTTGCCCCAGCACGGGCAACTTGTCTGGATCCCTTTTCCATCGTTGTCACCCCCCCTCATTCCCCTCCTCCGCCTTCCTCTGGCCCTCCTCCAACTCCCGCTGCTTCCGCTGCTGCTGTCGGTCTTCGTCGTCCTCCTTCCCCGTGCTCCTCGCTTTCCTCCTGCTTATCCTCATGTTCATCCGCCACCTCCTCCTACAATGTACCCAGCTACGCTCTTCTGCGTGGCCATAACACGATGGGGCCCCTTTGGAGTTCCAGGCGCGCTATGACACGCGTCGGCGAATGGAGAACAAAACAGCGCAACGGGAAGGAATGGGTGTGAGGGGTAGGATATCAGATATGGCGCGAGCGCCCCCCCCCCTCTCCTTCCTCCACTCCCCCTCCCTTTCTGCCCCTACCCTTAAGTCGGGTGTGTCCCCCTACAAGGCCCCCTACAGGGGGATTCTCGACGAAAAATATCTGAAATACCCTAAACATACTCCAACAAGGTCCAAACATGCGAAAAAAATAATCCTCAGGCTATTTTTTTGCTACTTTTGAATGTTCCCCCTGTAGAGGGACAGGCCCGATGTAGCCCTACCCTTCCTCGTCTTCCCTGCCCTCCCGCAGGGCGCCTTCGACACCAGCACCTCCCGCTGGCCCGGATCGGCACCGCCACCTGGCTCGGCTGGCGTGGGGCTCCGGGCCCGCGCCTCCCCGACGGCACCACTCGCAGGAGGACGCCGGCCCCGAGAGGGCCGATCACAGGCCCAAGACACACGACGAAGGCAAGACGAGGACAACTTTGGGTTAAGCGTGAGCCTGCGTGCACAAAGCGAGGAGGAGCGAAGGGGGGAGGACGGAGGACGAGGCAAGACAAGGCCGGAGAAGAGGAGGGATGTTTTGCCCGGGCGGCCGCAGGCAGCACGTTCTGGCCCGCGACGCGATGAGGACAATGCGGGAATCTCTGAGACCCAGCGGGCCTGGAGGATGTTATCGGGCGCCGCGACAGAACCAGAGAGCGCTCCAGAACGCTCTGACAGCGATGCGGAGCGCCCTGGAACGATGTATCCTTTGCCGGGCCTGCCTGGCTCATCTGGGCGGAGGGCACCAGCCCAAGAAAGCCGATCGTGGGCCCAAGCCCAGACCCCCGACGTCAGGATTTTTGCGCGGCATCGGGCCCACGCGGTCTGCATCACCTTCTTTCGACGCTTCGGATCCCTGCGAGGGCCCCAGATGCCGAAGCCTGCAAAAGACCTCCCGCTGTGCTTTCCTGGCAATGAGAGCATGGCTGGGGGCCAGGCACCGCTCCCGGGCAGACCGATCGTGGGTCCGGGACAGGCGGGCACGCCCTCCCGGCCAGGACCGACTGGCGTCCTGCCCCGATCCTGGGAGGAGGAGGAGGAGGAGGAGGAGGAGGAGGAGGAGAAAGAGGAGGAGGGGGAGGAGGAGGAGGAGGAGGAGGAGGAGGAGGAGGAGGAGGAGGAGGAGGAGGAGGAGGAGGAGGAGGAGGGGCTCGGAACGGTGCTGGCCAAGGGGCGAGCGTCGGCGAGCAGCTGGCGACACTCCAGCAGCTGCGCCTCGCAGAGGGCGTTCCTGGGGTGCCCCGATCGACCTGAACGGACGCCAGAGAACCGAGCTCTGACCCGGAAACCACCCCCCTCTCGTTGTGAAGAGATCGCGACGGACGGCTTTTGGTGGGTTTCGGCTTCTGGGGGCCTTTATTGGGCCCTGGGGCCGTCACATTACAACCCCGAATGCAAAAAACTGGTCCCAAGGAAGGGGTCTAGAACTCTGGGGTTCGTCATGAAACTAAACACGACGTCGGGGGTCTGGAAGCGACTTCGCACCTGACAAGCCGCAAGTCCCGTGACGGCCTTGATAGAAGGGAGGAGGTGAACCCCAGTTCGTTCCGATCTGCTACTAGCCCCTCCACATCCTTGCCAACTGCTCCGAATCCTCCCCCTCCTCCTTCCCCCTCCTCTCTCCTTTCTCGTCTCTCATGTATCCTCATTGCTCCGTCCCTTGTTCATCTCTCTCCACTCTTCCTCAGCTTCTTCTCCCTCCGCCGCCGCCTCGTTCTCCTCCTGCAGGGGAGATGCGAGAGCTGGGGGCGAGGCACCAGCTATCGCACTTGCACCATGAGATGAGGTGGAGAAAGAGGACCACGAATGATGAAGACGACGAGGCCCCCTTCACCTACCTCTCTTTCTTCATGTGTCTCCTTGCTGCATCCCGCCGCCTCTTAATTCTCAGCCATCCCTGACTGCTCCTTCTTTTCGTCACTCTTACTAGCGCTCCTCCGCCTTCACCTCCTTTCTCATCTTCATTCTGCTCGTCCAATTCTTCCTGTGTTCATTCCACTCCGGCCCTCCTCGTACCTGTCATTTTCGTCCTGATCGGCCTCTTTCTACTCATCCTCGTCCTCCTTCTTCTCCTCACCGTTCTCCTTGATCCGCCTCCTTCATTTTCATCTACTCCTCATGCTCCTCCCTTATCAAGCACCTCATCTTCCTCCCCCTCCTCCTCCTCCTCCTCATCCTCCTCCTCCTCCTCCTCCTCCTCCTCCTCCTCCTCCTCCTCCTCCCCCTGTTCCTCGTCCTTCTCACTTCACCTGAATTTCCTCTGATGCCCGGCTTGAGGCTAACTCAGGGTGGCGATTCAGAAACAAACGCGGGGCAGTTGTTTACTGTGACGGATTGTTCTGCCCCTGGCAAGGACCTCCGCAGGGGACGATCAACTAATCTTGGCGATGACGACGCTAACGAGCAGGCGTGTAATCCGATGTATGAATCATCGCCCATGGCGTTGCTGAGTGACGGCCGCACACGGTAATTCTTATCGTCATCCTGTATGATGAGTCGACCCACTGGGGCTTCCTGGGGTCGTCCTAAAACTTCCTATGTCCATCCTTCCACGGGCCGACCAAACCGTGGTCTCTGAGTCGACGATGGCGAACGACGACGAACAACGACAAGTGAAGACGACGACGATTCGACAACGAAGCCGGCCCCGAGGAGGGGAAGGGGGAAGAGAAGGACCGAGAAGGTGGAGGGTGGAGGAAGTTGTAGGACCAGGGCAAGCCCGAGGTGCATCACTTGCCGTCGCTCGGACGTCCATGTCCCGTGTATGTTTCGGTTTCGTGCGTGTTCTTTTTGCTCGATGGTCCAGGATGGTCCTCGATGGTTCTCGCCGAGAAAAAATGCACACGTCCGAGCGATGCCAAGTTCAGGGATGCCGCAGCGCCCCCTCCCGTGCCGAGCTGCTCACGCTTCCCAGTGCCGTGCAGGCAGGCCTTCCCCCCGCAGGCGGGCCGCCCTGGACAGGAGGGGCGCCCCGTGGGCCTCCCATAGAGGGCGAGGGCCCAAGTGATCGATGATCCACTTCAGGGCCCCTTCGAGCTGGAAGAACTGCGATGAAGCAGGGTCCACGAATCCAGGGACGCCTCCAACGATGACTCTGTTGTGAAAGGAGTCTGCCCTCGATCCGTGCAGCCGTTGCGCAGGCTCACACGTACTTTCATTTAGTCCCAAGAGGCCTCAGGAGAGAGCCCAAACTTGGAAGAAGGAAGCGCCCTCCACGCGAGTAACTCTGGCACTTTTTTGAGCACGAAGTCATGACTCCGTGGGCCCAAGCGGGAGCTCCATTCTGAACACCTCCCGCCCTCCATCCGTGCAGCTGTTGGAAACCCATTCCAAACAAATGCTGGCGGCGCCATGGCGAGAATCACGTGATGACAACGGCCCGCCCACCATACCTGGAACTGCTTTATGCTTTCGTACGGACGTGGCGGCGCCAGAGCGAGATCCCTACCTTGAAGGAAACCTGTCTTCCATCCGTGTGCAGGTGGCCACTTGCGAACCCTACCCCCTCCCTCAACGATTTCCAAAAGGGGGTCAGGGTTCACTCCGCTCGGGAGCTCCCGAAAGAAGTGACCCCACCCTAGAGTTCTCGGGGTCGGGGTTTGGATTTGCATGTGGTCACCGAGTGTATCCACTGGGCAGTCCAAGCTTCGAATCCATGGGTTGTGGGAAAGTCCCAGGCAAAGTACCCAGCCCGCCCTGATGACACGGGGCGCGAAGGAAGATGGCGTCGGCGGTGGTCTCAGCTTGCTGACGGGTCGTCATGCTGTGGCCCTGAAGGGGCGGGCTCTCTCGGGGACTTCTGGGCCCCGAGGAGGAGTCTCCGCCAGCAGTCTGCCAGACGAGGAAGAATGACGTGCTATGGGCAGCTTCACCCCCAGCGGAGCCGCATACCCACCGAGCGTACATAGAGAAACAAACAGATGCATGAACACACTTTCTCGGAGTTCCGCGCGGATTTCTTTCGGATCGGCACTGGATCCCTCTCCGTGGCGTGCGGAACACGCCAGGGGCGGCGCCGGAGGCGCCGCCAGGTGGGCCCAGCGCCGATCCATGAAATCAGCGCAGACCTCAGAAAAATGATGCGTATGCCTTTTCATGTGTTTCGAACACAGGGGACCGATCCCCCGAGGAGAGGAAGAAGGCAAGAAAGAGGGACGGATGGAGGAGGAGGGGGGGAGGAGGAGGAGAATGAGGAGGAGGAGGAGGAGGAGGAGGACCAGAGCAAACTCAGGCCTCACCAACGATTTTGCAATAAACCCTCCCTCCAAATGTCCTCTTCATAGGTCCCTCCATGAATGTATTTTCATTGCGTAAAGTGCCATATTGGAAGACCACCGTCTGAGAATCCAATAAAGCCTAAACGCTATTCCCGGGACTTCCGCGCCGCGAATCCACGTTCCTGTTGCATCCACAAAAAACCTAAACCGCGCAAGGACACAACTCCTGGGACCTCACCTCTGCGAATCAGCATGACGGCTGCGTCTTGACAAGCGTAATATAATCGTGCCAGAACTTAGCCCTTGAGACTTCCAAGGCACGAGAATTCGAAACAGTTGTTAAACGTTCCGCACAAATGTGCGCGGCGCTCATGCGAGAGCCAAATGGTGAACACCACCCCGCCCTCCACCAACGAAACTGCTGCAAACTGTTTAAACTAATTCGCGAGGCGCTACGGCGAGAACCGATTTTTGAATTCAAAACAACCCGCCCATAATCGGTGAAGCTGCTGCGACTTTTTGAAAAGAATGTGCGCGGCGCCAAGGGCACAACCACATGTTGAAAGCGGCCCGCACTCCAGCCGTAAAACGCTTACGGATCTCAAGCTTCAAAATCATAACTTGTAAATCAACCTGAGGTGAAACGCCTGGCCCACCCTTCCGACACGACTGGGGGTGCGACAGGGAGGAGTCATTTATAGGAACAACAGATGGAGAAGGAGGAAGAGGAGGAGGGGGGATAATGAAGAGGGGGAGAAGGGAGGAGTGGGAGGAGGAGGGGGATGAGGCTAGGATGAGGGGGACGAGGCTAGGAGAATGAGATCAGATCTGATCAGACCTCTCGGGGCCAACATCCACCTTCGGGAGAGTAAAACGCCTCAGGACAGACCAAATGAAACCTCAAGCATCAGCTGAAAGAAAAAAACTACCTCTGGAGGAGAAGGGGGAGAGAGGAGGGGGAGGAGGGCAGGAAGAGGGACGGAGAGAGGGAAGGGAGGAGGCCGGCTGCAGCGAGACCTGGCTGGGCGCGCCCGTGCGCCGGCGGCGCGGGCCCCGAGCCTGGAGGGCGGCGGCCGCATACCCCTCCTCCACAAAAACCCGGCCGCGCGCAGGAGTGGCCATCCCAGACCTCCAACGTCTCGAGAAACTCAAGCCCAGACCCCCTCGCGCTGTGACAAAAAATCGGGGCGGGAGGCGTTTCGCTATTTTCGGCCTCCGGGGGCCCTTACAAGGCCCTCGGGACGGTCAAGAAATGACTCAGGATGAAAAACCGGTCCTGGGGAAGGGGTCCAGACCTCTGGGGGTCGACGGTGTGCACAAATCACGACGTCGGGGGTCTGGGAGGCGGACATTCGGCGGGGGTCTGGGAGGCAGACGTGCTCTTACGATTCTCGCCTCTGGGGGCCCTTGCCGGGCTTCCAGAGGCCGTCCGAAAACTAGACCAGGGCTTAAAAACAAAAACCACCGGTCTGGGGAAAGGGGTCTCGGCCTCTGGGGGTCCGCAGTGTGAGAAGGTCGCAACGTCGGGGGGATCTGGGAAGGGCGAGAGTGGTCATCGGCGCGCCGCTCTGGGGGGGGGTCGTGGGGATGGGCAGGTGCCCCCCGCCCTTTGGGAGGGGACCTGAAAATAATAGGAGCGCTAGAAACAGAAATGGGTCTGTTTTGAAGGGGCCCCATGGCACACACATAAATACACACAAATAAACATATTCCCCATATTTTCCTATATTCTCTGGGTTTCTGTCTTCCCCCCCACTTCCCATATGTTCCAATATTTTCTGGGGAATTGAGGATTAATTGTGTCTGTGTGTTTCTTTTCCTCCTGATGCAACCCGCCCAGATATACGATCCCTCAGGCAAAGGCGGGGACCTCAGTGAGGCCACGCCTTCGACGGGGACCTCAGGCTTTGTGGGTTTCTCGAATGGACAAGAAACATGGGGCCAAACCCTGGGATATACGATGGGGGGGCGTCCATCCTCGATAGCGGTGCGTCCGAATAGCCCCCTTGGGGTGTATCCCCCGGTTTCCCGCCTCTTCTGAGCGGCTTCGTTTTTCGTCGAACGGTCGAGGGTAGGGGGAGGAAAATCGCCTGCGAACAGCAGGTGCTGTGATGTCTTTCCCCCCCCCCATCCTCCAAACGTCGCGGAGGACTCACGCCCGGCGTTTGGATTACCGTCTCGGCGTCCGGGAGCGCTCTCGCCCTCCAGGGCCGTCACGAGCAGCCCGCGGCGAACAAAACTGTGCACGGGCTGGGTTCGAGAGCTCTGGGGGCCCGCGTCACGATTGGACCCAGAAACGGACGACGCCGGCCCACCAACGGCCCCATGAGGCTTAGCATCTACCCGGAAATCTGGCGCGGCTTTGTTGCGTGGTTGGCGCCACGGCCCCCGATGGGCCGTAGCGCAACATGGAGGCCAGTAGGTGTTGTGGTGTGGTTTGGTTTCTGGTCGAATGAGCGGTTAGTTTGAGGCGCGCAGACGGGGGGTCGGGGGAGGGGGGAGCCTTCTTAGAAGGAGGCCGCCTCTGAGAAAGCGCGGGCCCTGTATCGCAGACAAGGCCCGCGCCTTCTGAGGAGCAGGCATGCTTCAAAGACGCCCGCTCCCCCCCCCATACCCCCCTCTGCGCGGGGCCGAGTTCGAGAGCTCTGGGGGCCGCGCCATGGACAAACAGCGACGCCAGAGGGCTGGGCATACGGCCGAAGCGTGGCTAACATGAGCGCTGGCCAGGAGCAGGGAGCCCCTGCGCCGAGTGGCCAAGGACGAAGGGTAATCCAAGGCGGAGAGTCCAACCACGCTCGAGCACGAGGGGCAACGAGAGGGGGGAACTGGAAAAGGGGGGGGACACATCGACCAGGAACCGGCGATGCATCGCCGAGGGATGGGCGGATGGGCCCCGATAGCGAAGCCGCACCTTCCTGGGCGGATTGGGGCCATCGGGCCCCTATCGGTGATACATGGGCGGTTGGGGGTCGACGCGTCCCCCCCCTACGCCTATCCCCCCTTGTTGCAGCCCCCGAGAACACGAGGGTGCCCCTCCGAAGCTGGCGTTGCGCTCAACCCTCGGGCCAGCTGTATGCCCGCGTGCCCATTTCGTCCTGCCCTTCTTCCATATATTGGCGGCAGGCACGGAGAGGGCGTGGTTGGGAGGCGCCGTCTGGGCAAGCAGAGGGCAAGCAGAGGGCAGCTCAGAAGCTGGCCTCCTGAGCATGATTCTGGCGCGACCCAAGTTGGGGGTCTTCTCTACACTACGGGACACTTCCATACAAACTAGGGTACAGCCGTACAGCACAACCTCACACACACAAAGGCAATGCAACCCAACGGCTTCGCACACACCAGAGCAATGCAATAGAACATGCTTAAAACAACGCAGAACAATTCGAATCACAACCACTACGACGAAACGCAAGTCAATGCAACGCGAAACGCTGCAACACCACGCGACACAACTCAATGCATATCTATGCGCAACGAAGCCGTTTAAACCAATACGAAACAATACCATTCCCATCACATCAACCACACTTTCGTGCAACGCAACGCCCGTTCAGTGCAAATCCGTGTCGGTCAGTGCAAGTGAAAATGCAGATGCAACGCAAGCGTTGGGGGCCTGGAAATGGGCACCAACACCAACACAGGGGTGTGCCTCCGCCACGGGGAGATGATCCTAGATTTCGGTGTTGGTCTTGGTGATTTGGCCACTTGGGAAGCCCGAGTATTACCACCATCACCGAGATCGGGAGCACCTTCCCTCGGTGGGGGGGCACAGCGCCGATAGTTGTGTTGGTGTCGACCCCTGGGCATCTGGCGCAGAGAGCAGAGCAGCGCAGGACAGCGCAGAGCAGCGCAAACAAAGGAGCACGGAGCCGGAGTTGCAAGCACCCGCCCCCCCCGAGGACCTGCGGGCAGGGACGGGGCATCGCTGCCATCCGCGAGACGCCGCTCCCCATCCCCGCCGCGGGCCCCGGGGCCTGCGGGCAACAGCTGCACGTGGAAGCGCTCGTGCTCCATGGCCGCACGGTTCCCGCACCTTGCGATCTCCTCGCGGGTCCGGTTGTCCACTCCGTGCAGCTTCTTCGACGCCAGTGCAGCGACCGATGCCTGCTGGAAGGTCACCGTCGCGGCTGGCGGGGGGCCGGCATCCAGAAAGGGCTGCGACTCGAGGGGGCCGAACTTTTTGAAGAGGTCGGTTATCCTTGGGCAAAGAGCCAGAGGGAGCAAAAACGAAGGATCGCATGATATCTTTACCACTCTCCATGGGCTGAACATACAGGTTATCCTCGTTTCGCACCACGTGGCGCTGAAATAGCACAATTCTTCAGATGTTCACCGTCGCATGGGTCCCCGATCAAAGGGGGGCAGACCGACCGCGAGGCAGAACCTTTTTCAGAGAGCGTCCAAGAACATATCTGCCCGCTCCCTGGGTCATCTAACGTCGTGCATCGCGCCCCGAGATGCGCGACGTTGGATGACCTTCGCACCCTCGCGTCCTGTCACCGCCCCCTTGGACAAGGGCACCCGCTCTGGCCCAGGCCGCGGCGAGCACAGCACGATTGTCTTCGCGCCCCCGCGGATGACCTGGACGCTCCTGGCTGTTGGCTCCCATGCCTCGTCGGCAAGAGAAGCACCACGCACGAGACTGCACCTCCTATTGGAAATCCCACCAGCCCTCTGGGCGAAGCTGGCTGGTATCACGAGCTGTTTCCTCTCCTCTCCCAAAAGCCCTCCTCCCACTGATCCTCATTACTATGTACCACCTCCCCCACCCGACCGGCGACAAACCATGGACACTGCCAACCCGCCCCTACACAACATGCCTCGAACAAAAACAAGGCAAACTGCACTTTGCATCACAATCTGGATCATGCGTGGACGCCCCGCGATCGTTGTGCGTTGGTTTTTGACAGGGCTGGTGGGGATGTCGGCATACGACCTGCTGCGTGCAACGCAAGCACCCTCCCCACCACACCTTCCCAACAGCCATACGCCGTGCACTCTGCACCAAAATCTGGATCACGCGCGGGCGCCCCTCGATCACTCTGCACGTGTTTTCGACAATGGCGGCGGGGGGGGGCATCTTGCGTGCCGCGTGCACTGCCAACATCCCCATCATCTTGCAGCAGCAGAATGCATCAGAGTATCAGTATAAGAAGATGAGAGGGTATGGGGGAGGTCTGGATGGGGTATGCGTTAGCTGGGCAGTCAGGCCTTGAGTGTTCGACCTGTCAACTTGGCAATTTAGCTAGTTCTTAAGTTTGCGTGGTTGAATTTTGAACGTGCAGGAAAAGGGTTTCTGGCGTTTACGAGTATCGCTCCTGTAATAGGAGGAATGGCCAGGTAGTGCATGCTGCACCAATCTAAACATCATGCGCAGGCGTCCAAAGATCACGTCGCATGGGCTTTTGGCGGGAGGGGCGGCATATGGCCTGCCGTGTGCAGGCCCACCATCCCTGTCAACAACAAATGCAAAGTGATTGCGCGTGCACGCGCACACAAAATGCACAATGCTGGCTAGCAAACCCGCCCTCAATGTGCACTGGCTTTTGGCAGGGGTAGCGGGGGGTCGACATTTTACCAAACGCGACGCACCTGGCGCGCGTGGCGCACCTGGCGTTTGCGGCGCACCTCGCGGGCGTCGCACACCTGGCTGGCGTCTTCATTGGCTACCGATGAATGTCGATGGCGGCCCCTGCCTATGCTGAGACCCGGGTGCCAAATGTGTAATGGGAGGGCGGGGGGGGTGAGCGAGCCAGCTTGAGACGTTTTCGCTGAGAACTTGACGCATCCCCCGATCCCCTCCCCTGTAGGGCACCTAACACTATACACCGACGCTTTTTGCGGCCCTGCACTGAAGTCTGCAAGTAAGAACGCGGACCCTGGTGTATACGGGACCCTCCTGTATACATATTTCGTTGCTTCCACCACACCACCCCAACGTCGTCCCCGACTCTCAAAGAAGTCCTGGGATTCGAGGAGCAGCCCACCAGTGATAATGTATACGTTCCAGTTTCCGATGGCCACAAGTGCCCTCCGAGCCACATCTTCAGCCAACTATGAAAACAAAAAAAAACAATGTTGTCTTCTCGCCTTTTGACTTCCGATGGGCTTGAGGCCCCATGATAGCCGAAGGAGCCCCAAGAGAGGCCCAAGAGGGCTGCAAGGAAGACCCCAGGAACGCCCAAAAACTCCCACAGAACGCCCTAAAGGGGTTCCTAGGGGCACTTGCTTGGCCTCCGAAGCGGGAACTGAATTGTGGACCCCCCCCCTCGTTTTTTCTCCAAGAACAAAAAACCATGGGGTCCAAAATTGCCCCACGAGGCTTCGCAGACGCCCCAAAGAGCCCCACGATGGCCCCAAGAAGGCCCAAACCGAGACGAAAGGGCCTCCAACACGACTCTGGAATTGTTCCGGGAGGTATACAATAAACATCCAAGAAGCTCGCGGACCCAAAGCTCCGCGAAGGATTTATGGATGGCTCGTCGTTGCCGCCGTCGCCTTCATTATCGCTCTTCCTCCGCCATCATTATACTGGTTGTTCCTCTTGTTGTTCCTCTTTTTTTCCTCCTCCTCCTCCTCACTTTCTGTTCCTGACTCCGACTGAGACAAAAGATTTGTCAAATCATTCGGCCGACATGATCCCGTCGTACCTGCGCCCCCGACGCGTGTCCAAGACGGCTTTTCACTGCATGCTTCTACACGTTCCTGATCCAAGCAACTCGCCTGACGATCGCTTCTGGATGGTCAGGTGGGGATACTTTTTTTGTTCGCGAGCGCGCAGGGATGCTAGGCGCCGTCAAGAAACGCGGCTAACAAGTAGCGGCCTAAATTCCGCACGCGAGCGCAGTCTGGTGGGGATTTGTTTAGTCGCAACTGCAGGCTGACGAGCCGACAGCGCCAGTAGAGTAGCACGGGCCGCGAGCAACCTAATTGCCGGCGCGCGCCCCGAACAAGCAGACTAAATCTACCGCCAAGGGGAGCTGCGCCGGGGCTGAGCTGCGCCGAGGGGTGGAAGCTGCCAGCTGCGGAGGCGGCTGGGAAAGTGCAGCGTGCGAGTACCATGGGAGCGAGATCACCAGGCACGGGGTGGTGGGGATACGCGAAGCGTCAATACTCGTTGCTTAGCGTGTGGCGGCGGAGGCACTGCGAGCGGATAGCGTGTCGCTCCGCTCCGGGCGGCGGGAGGCTGGGAAAGGCGCGGGACGTGGACGCTTGGGGACCTGGGAAGTGGCTAGCGTGTTGCGCCGAAGCTTGGTGGGCCAGAACTGGCATTGGGACACGCTACCCACAAGCTCCCGACCACCCATTCTTTCCTCCCCTGAGGGGCAACAGGGGAGGACGGGCTAAGGGGGGGGAGCGTCGACCATCATTCGGCGATACATCGTCAATAGACCGGCGACAGGCTCCCGATAGCGAATCCACGCGGCCCTGGGCGGGTTTGGCTGTCAATCCTCGATCGTCGATCGATGGATGATTGGGGGTGGATGTGCCCACCCCCCCGTGCCTATTACCCCCTGACGTTCTCCCCTGGCGTTCGGGTCATCACTCGGGTCTTCGGCGGCAGTTCGAGAAGATCCGGGCCCACGCGGGAAGCTCTCGGCGAGGCGCAGCTGCTGGAGAGCACCCCGAGGCCGGCAGACCGCCGAAGAAACGCCCGAAAACAGCGAGCCCGAAGCTTCCCCCCCCTTGGCGTGGTGCCCGGCCCCCGTCCCACGTCCTGCCCACCAGCGAGTGCGCCGCCGCTGGCAGGAGCCACGAGGCCGGGAAGTGCTTCACGACCTCTCGCGGCGGCCGCCGGGCCAGAGCCGATCCGAGGCCCGATCCTGGCGGGGCCGCAGCTGATCGACCAACAGCTGATCACGACCTCCGCGCTCTCCTTCCGCTTGCGGTGGGCGCTGTCGGTGGCGGCCACGAGGGGGGCGTCCAAGAGGGGGGGGGGTCGTCGTCGTCGTCGTCGTCGTCGTCGTCGTCGTCGTCGTCGTCGTCGTCGTCGTCGTCGTCGTCGTCGTCTTTGTCGTCTTTGTCGTCGTTTTCTTCTTCGTCGTCGTCGTAGTCGTCGTCCAGGAGGGGGGCGTCCAAGAGGGGGGGGGCGCAAATCATGGCCGGCGGCACGTGCGCGACCCAGGGGGGGCCAGGGGCGTCATGAAATAAGAAGAGGCGCCACGAAGTTTGAGGACCTATCAGGGCACACGCCATGAGGTCCCTCTCCCCCCTAGACATTACCCCCCTCTTTGCCGCCCCCGACGTTGGAAAGATCGCGTGCAATATCGACCTCCGAACACACACGTCGGCGGCGAGCGAGGGGGGTAAATGAGAAGGAGAAGACCTTCTCAGAAGGTTCGGAAGTCCCCCAGCCTTCTGAGAAGTTCTCTGATCCCCGAGGACACCGAAACACCTCTCAGAGGGCGCGAGGGCTTCTGAGAAGCCTCGCCGCCTTCGCTGAGGGGGCCTTCTCCTTCTCCTTTCCCCCCCTCGCTCGCTGGCACACGCGCCGTCCCCGTGGGGCGATCCCCCGGCGAGGGCCCGCTGCCCGTGCACGCTGGCCCTCTGCCGGGGCTCCTTCGGTCGGTGCCCGCCGTGCCCCGAGGAATGGAGGTGGGGGGCACCGCGAACACCGGGCGGGGCCGGCGGCGCCACATCGCAGGCCAGCTCTCCAGCGCCGGCCGTGAGCAGTGCCAGGTCGGGCGAAGGATTGCAATCCTTCGCCCAGGATTGCAATCCTTCGCCCAGGATTGCAATCCTTCGTTCAAGCGAAGGATTGCAATCCTTCGGTTTTTTTTGCAATCCTGGGTTTTTGTGCAATCCTTCGTCCTCCTACAGTTGTGGGTGCCACGACGATGGACACCCCAACAGTCCCATCCTTGAACTTAGACTGTGTTTAAAAAATGTCGGAAACATGTTCCACACATGTTTTGAACATGCTTTTTACATGTCTGAAACATGGTTAACGCATGTGTTGGACATCCGGAATTGATGTGGCAACATGCTTCCTCTCCACTGACCGTCCTCCACAAGGAATAGTGTCAGGTCGGGCATGTCCTCCTACAGGCGGATTTCGAAAGAAATAAAACAGATCGTCAAACTGTAGTCCAGAATAGGCAATCATAGTCGAAAGATCGTCTCCCGACAATGTTTGATTATTGTTTGGAATATTCCTCCTGTAGGGGGACATGCCCGACTGAAGAGTGGTGGCCACACGAACGAACGATTCTCGGCTGGGTGGCCACCGCGCAGCGATTGCCGATGTGCAGCGACTCCAGGCTCCGGGCGGCACGGAGCAAAACAAAACACGAGCGCGGCACTGCGCGGCTCTGCACACAGAGCACGCCGCTGCACGGCAACACCCCGCCGAGCCACACGTCACGAGCTGTGCCGCACGATCGCGCGCGACGGGGCTCGCCATACGCAGGTTGCGCCGCCCTCTAGGATCACGCGAGCTGGTCCACCCTGTCACTCTACGCCATGGGGTGCGCCACAGGTCGCGCCACCCCAACAGATCGCGCATCGGGCCCGCCCTGCCACACGGCGCCGGAGGTTGCGGCAGAAGGCCGCGCACGCCCCACCACCACGGAATCGCGAGTTGGTCCGCTCTGTCTACAGGGGGCAACGTTAGCAGGTGACTAGCTCAGGGGGGGGGGGATATCGAGTTCGAATCGGATATACATCGCCGATAGATTGGCGGCAGGCCCCCATAGAGAATCCGCACGTTCCTCGGCGTGGTGGGCTATCGGCTATCCGGTCTGAGATCGGCGACGAATGGGCGACAATCGGGGGTCGATCCGTCCCCCCTGAGCCTATCCCCCTCTAACGTTAACGTTGCCCCTGAGTCTAGCTTGCGTCATCAGGTACGCGCGGCGAGCGCCCCGCTGAAGTGGTCCCCTCTGCCCGAGTTTGCACCAAAGTTTGCACTGCGTCGCAGGGCGCCAGTGGTTGCAGCCAACACGCGCCGCGCAGTCTCGAGTTGGCCCCGTTTGCTCGGACTGCGCCATAGGTTGCGCCAGACACCATGCACAGCGGAATCGCCAGCTGGCCCCCTCTGCCCACCCTGCGCTCCAGGCTGCGCCATGGGCGGCGCTCTGGGTTTCGCCACAGGCTGAGCCAGACACCCTGAACTGTAGTTTCACGATATGGTCCACTCTATCTTCCAACTCACAAGCTCAAATAGGCTCTTGTGGCATCCGCTGTTCGAGGAAGCCTGCAGCCAGAGGATCGTCCCAATCCTGCCCGGGGATCGGTGGACCGGCGATCAACCCTGGGTCGCCGGATCGCGGCATTGTAAGTCCACGGCGATGCTGCGCGTCTCTCCGGCTGCCACGCCGCCCGCAGCGGGAGCGCCGCTCACCGCCTTCGGCCGCGCTGGGGGGGGCGGCCGTGGCGGCACCTGCGGCACCTGTGGCCTGGGCGCTGCAGGCACCGGTGGAGGCTGAGGCGGGGAGGGGGCATTCGTCTCTTTGAGCTGGAGGAACTGGGCGATGTTGTCGTGGACGTTCACCATTGTCTGCGCGGCGTGGGTCTCGCCCTGGCCCTCTGCAGCTTGGCCGCCCAGGCGCGGGATCTTCTGGGGCGGCCCTGCGTCTGGTGCGGCCGCCTCTGCCTCGGGCTGGGCCGCCCTGTCCGTCTCGTGGGCCTGCTCGCCCGATTTGTGCCCCTTCTTGCCCCACAACTCGTACGGCTCGTGCCGAGCGCCCTTGGCTCCCTTACTGGTGTCGACCTTCGACGCTTTGCCCCAAGGCGACGACTCGGGCGGCACATGCACCGAGCCGCTCCTCTTTCCGTCGCCCTTGTCTGCAGCACCCTTGGCAACGTCCTCCTCCGCACCCTTGGCGTGCCCTTTGGTCGAAACAAGTCCCCTGGTATCTGAGCCCTTGCCATCACCCTTGGCATCGCCCTTGTGCGCACCACCCTTGGTGGCAGCGCCCTTGTCTGCAGCACCTTTGGCCCCGGAATCTTTGTAGTAAGCGTCCTTGAACAAGCCGCCCTGAGCCTCCGCGCCCTTGCCTTCGCCCTTGGCATCGCCCTTGGTGGAAGCACCCTTGTCGTTGCCCCCTTTGGCATCGCCCTTGCAGGAAGTGCCCTTGAACTCCGAGCCCTTGCTCCCGCCCTTTGCCGCAGCGCCCTTGGCAAAGCCATCTTTGGTGGCGAGACCCTTGTCCGTAGCACCCTCTGTGTCGCCTTTCTGGGCGGCATTCTTGAAGTCGCCCTTCGAGAAAACGCCCTTGGCATTGCCTTTGCCAGTTCCCTTTGCTGGAGCGCCTTCGGCTTCAATCTCATGCGCCTCGTCGTCTTCACCTGTGGCCCCCTTGGCATAACCCTTGGCGGCAGCGCCCTTGTAGGAGCCCCCCTTGGCGTCGCCCTTGCCCCAAATTCCCTTGGCATCGCCCTTCGTGGTTGCGTCTTTGCCCTCGGCGCCCTTGACACCGCCCTTGCAGTCGGCGCCCTTCGTGGCAGCGCCCTTTCCGGAGGCGCCCTTGGCATCATCCTTGGCGGAAGCACCCTTGTCGTTGCCCCCCTTGCCATCGCCCTTGGAGGGAGCGCCCTTGACCTCCGAGCCCTTGCCCTCGCCCTTTGCCACGTCGCCCTTGGCAAAAGTATCTTTCGTGGCAAGACCCTTGTCAGCACCTTTGTCCGTAGCACCCTTTGTGTCGCCTTTCTGGGCAGCAGTCTTGAAGCCGCCCTTCGAGAAAACGCCCTTGGCATTGCCCTTGCCATGGTCCTGTGCTGGAGCGCCTTCGGCTTCAATATCATGCGCCTCGTCGTCTTCACCTGTGGCCCCCTTGGCATAACCCTTGGCGGCAGCGCCCTTGTAGGAGCCCCCCTTGGCGTCGCCCTTGCCCCAAGCGCCCTTGGCATCGCCCTTCGTGGCTGCGTCTTTGCCCTCGGCGCCCTTGACACCACCCTTGCAGTCGGCGCCCTTGGCGTCGCCCTTCGTGGCATCGCCCTTTCCCGAGGCGCCCTTGGCATCGCCCTTGGCAGCAGCACCTTTTGCATCGATGCCCTCAACCTCGCCTTTCGCTGTAGCACCCCAGGTGTCACCCGCGGCTGCGGCATTCTTCCTGCCGCTCTCAGCGTCTCCCTTATCCTTGTGTGACTTGCCCCAGCCTTTGCTTGAAGGACCTCTATTGTCGACCTCCATACTCCAGTCATCCTCGCCAGCGTCGCCCTTCGCATGCCCTTTTGACCCATAGCCAGCGTAGCCCTTCGCCTGAGATGTCCATGGCTCCTCAGATGAGAGAAGAACGCGAACTGCATAAACACAGCCTTTTGACAGTCCGCGCGGATCTCTTGGACCTGCGCTGGACCCCCTCCCTGGCGCGCGGAACGCGCCAGGGGGTCCCATTGCAGATCCAAGAGATCTGAGCGGACCGCCAAAAGTTAATGTTTATGCCCCTTTTCGGGGGTTTTCGACATGGCGGATCCTGCCATGGCTCAGCAGACCACCCATCGTCAACCTCCATTCCCCAGCCCTCCTCTCCAGCTCCGCCCTTTGGATGACCCTTGGAGGGCCAGGAACCGCACGGCGGCGCCCAGCCCCAGGGGCCCCCGTAGTCTTCGTCTCCTGCTGGCCCCCGAAGTATGCACCAGCAGCGCCCTCCTTCCCCCCCCCACCCTCCCACACCCGTGGCAAGGAGGGGAGGGAGAAGCAGGCGCTGGAGGCCACTATCCCCGAGGGCCCGCAACTCCTCCCCAGGCGCCCTCCTTTCCAGCGCCGCCCTTCGGGTACCCCTTCGGGTAGCCCTTGCCGGCGCAGCCCGCGGCTGAAGGCCAGCCCTCCTCTCGGGGGGCCGGCAATCCGACATGGGGAGGGGAGCAGAGGGCGGGTTCGCGAAGCAGCTGCACGCAGCCGGTCCTCCCAGCGCCTCCCGGGCGTCGGAAGCGGCCGTGTACCGAAAAACGCGCCCTCCGCGACGGTGCCGAAGCCAGCTGCATGCAGAGCAGATTTCGCACTCCCCTCCCTGCCACTCCAGAAGGACAAAGACGGTACCCATGGCGCTACCACCTGGACCTCTCCTGGGGGGGTACGTCGCGAACAGCACCTCGAGGAGAATCCAGCCGTGGCGACGAGGGCTCTCCAGGCTAAGCAGCAGCATCGGCACGTCCTCCTCCGAGTTTTCCGCCCGGCCCGGTCCTCCGCCGAGGCGCCGCCCCACGGCTGCGCCCAATCCCAATCCCAGGCTTCCCCCTCCCAGGCCGCATGCTTCCCGGCGCCCTTGCCTTGAGCGTGCATTAATGGACGTGCGGGAAAAAAAGCGGATGGGGGGGGAGAACCGTGCACCTTTTGTACTCCTTTTGGGCACACAGGGGCGCTTCAGGGACCCTCCGGGGCACAAAATGCACACCTCTTCCCCCCCACCGCAATTATCATTAGGTCGGGCATGTCCCCCTACAGGCGGATGTTGTAAGACAAATGAAAAACAACAGTTCAAACATATTCGGACATGGTCAGAAATAGTCGAACATCGTCCCCATCATATTTCATTTTTCCAATAAGAAAAACAACCATTTTTGAGCATCCCTCCTGTGGAGGGACGCGCCTGACCTACAAACATCGCACGACCATTACTCGACGCCCGATTGCCGCCGTAGCCCGCCGCGCCGGGCTGGGAGGGCCACGCCCCCGCCGCCGGAGCCTCGCCCCACGGCTGCTCCCAGCCCCAGGGGGGCGCGGGCTGCTCCCCTCCTGCGCGGGGGAGGCATCAAAGCACGAACGTGCCCGGCCAAGGCGGGTGCCTGCACGGATGCCCTCCCGGCCCCGGCCAGGAGGCTCTGTGCACCACCCTGGGGCGCAGGAAGGCGCGAGAGAAAGAGGCTTGAACGGTGATGATCAGGAGGAGGATGATGATGAGGAGGAGGAGGATCCCGGAGGAGAAGGAGGAAGAGGAGGAGGAGGAGGAGGAGGAGGAGGAGAAGGAGGAGGAGGAGAAGGAGGAGGAGGAGGAGGATCGAAAAGGAAGACGGCAAGGAGGGGGAGGAGGAGGAGAAGGGTGAGGAAGAGGCGGGAGGGGGCAGACGGAGAAGGGGGAAGGGGATGTGTTGGAACGCATTGAAGAATTCAGCGCAGATATCCTGCCCAGGACGCATCCTTCCAGGCGCCCTTCCCGCCGTAGCCCGCCGCCCCTGGCCTCGAGGGCCACAGCCCAGCCGCCGGGGACTCGTCCCACGGCTGCGGCCAGTCCCAGGACCTGGGGCATCGAAAGCAGTACCAATTACTTAAGAAGAAACCAAGCAGAGGACAACTTCGGGTGAAGACAAATCGAGAATCTCTGAGACCTGGCGGCTCTGCAGGGTATCTCGTGCGCCGCGGCCTTCCACGAGCGTTCTGGACCGTTTTGAAAACGTTCTGGAACGCTCTGGGAGGGATTTATCCTCGTCCTAGCCCCGTGCGATCCCAGATCTCCGACGATATTGTTGTTCCAATCCCGGCGCTTTTCTTCGATTTCGGCCTTTTGGGCCAGTTATCCGGCCCCAAGACCATCAGAGAGGACCCAGGACGACAAACTACCCCAGGGACGCGGCCTGGACCTCTGGGGCCGCGGATTGAAAAGAAGCAGCTCGGCGTATGTCAGGGACGACGCGCCGCGTGGAAAACCCATCAGCGTGCTTCGGACAGCAACGAGGGAGCAAAACGCTGATGACGGGCTCCTGGATGCGGCGTGCCATTGATTGGGAGAACAAAAAACTACCGATATACCGCTACTCCTCGGACCTCTACCAGAGTGCGTTCTGACCAGGGTTCCCGCGGCAAGTCCAGCCGTGGCGTTGAGGCCATTCCACGCACGGGGCACTGATGTATGGGCATCCCTCCCTATGACTGATGCTCTCTTTCTCTCCGCCCCGGAGACCCGCCCTCTCCCTCCCAGGCCGCCTCCTTCCCGGCACCGCCCTTCGCGTACCCCTTCGGGTGCCCCTTGGGCCCTTTGCCGGGCTCCTTCTCCCCCTCTTCCGCCCACTCCTCCGGCTGCGTGGCGCCCTTTGCGCGCCCCTTCGGGGCTCCTCGCGGAGCCACCGCGAGGCCCTCGGCTGCCTTGCTCGTCGGGGGCGCCTTTCCCCAGAGCTTAGCTGCTGGAGGCTCTGATGCACCCTTCCCGGCGGCACCGCCCTTCGAGCACCCTTTCTTGTACCCCTTGCCGGCGAGGCCTTATGCGTATGAGAGAGGGGGAGAATGAGATCGCGGCGCTGAATTGATTTCGCATGGGGAACTTCCAGTCAGCTCCGGGGCGCCGGGACCGTCACAGATCGATCCAACCCGAAAAATGATGCAACATATTGGGTCTAAGGCTCTGGTCGTGCTGTTCCGCGTGGTTGTTTTTCTTCGTAATGTCGGATATCGTGGGGGGACGGAAGGAGGAGCAGAGCAGAGCATTACCAATGGGGGATGCCCAGAGGCCCCCGCAACTGAAACAATAACGGCGGACTTGGTGCTCGTGAGCCACCTATGAACGAGGTGGAATGACACTGATCAGCTCCAAATACTTTTGTCAACTGGGGCTGCCTCGCGACTTCTCTTCTTTGCCAGGGGGAAGTTCAATCACCCAGAAAAAGGACCCCATATAATTAAGTGCGGAATCCCCCTGAACTGAGTGAGCAGGACTGGCGTCGCGAATGAGATTGTCAGGCCGATCGGTACGTGAAGATGTCAGAGCACAGACTGGTGGGTAAACGGATTGACTGTGCAGGCGATCGTGAGAAGGCTCGCTTTGATTAAGTACATTGCCCAACCGTTTGGCAAGTATGTATGCATGCTTGAATGAAGGCGTAACATTTGTTAGTGCGGTTCGGTGGCCTTGGGACCCCAACAACCTCATTGCACGGTCCGTCACCGCACCGCACCGTTCTGGGACCCTCGAATCCCCAGTTGCCCGAGACACCCTCGGAGAGCGACCCCGGTCCAACGACTGCGCGGCCACCCCCGACAGGGGAAACCAATAGGTACTGATACCGCCGCTCCCCGGACCTCTCCTGGAGTGCGTTCTGACCAGGGATTGGAACGGAATCCAGAAATGGCGACGAAGGCCCCCGCAGGAGGTCGAAAAAGGCGAAGACGAGGCAAGGGTAGTGGTACGGTATGGTATGGGCACCTTTCCTTCGCCGACGAACCTCAACTGACTCACCGCACGGTGTGGGCACCGCGCAGGTTTGGGAGGCCCTGGGAGATCAACTGTTGCTTCTGCCAGCCTCCCAGCAACCGCGCAGCCGTCCTTCCTCTACAATGACCACGTACGACAGGAAGTGCAAATTCGTTCGCAGCTTAGAAGGCCGTTGCACGATGTCAGAACTCGCTGGCCAGCGAAGAGATTTCCTACTTTACACTCGACTCAATTCGAGAAAGCCTCGCTCTCACGCCCCATAGGCGTAGTCCCCACGCTCGGGTGATACAGCCCGCCCCCCGGAATAAGAAGAAGAAAAGGGCTCTCGCAGTCGCCCCCTCAGTACGATGGGAAGCTGTGCTTCAAGAAATTCAGAGGGGAACCCTCTCGTCGATAAGGGGGCCCCAACGTGTCCCACAGCCTCTGCGTCGAAGATTGACAGAACGCCCTGCAGCACAACGCCATGTCGTGAAAGCTGTTGGGGGCACTCCACGTGCGCACGGCGCCGCATTCCGAAAGGACCCCAACGGGGTAGCTAACCGATGTTCGGAAACACGTGCATGTATCGCGCGAGCTGCACGTTAGAAGCGACTGGGGACTGCACTGGCACGCTCGAGTGCCAACGTCGAGCGAACCAGTGCAGACTTCATCAATCGGCTAGTGTGGGCGGGCGTTCTCTCAATGTCCGGCTGTGGGTCTCTGGGGCCATCGGGGGATAAGAGATGTCCGTGGGGCACCTGATGGCAACCTGGTGTCTCATTTGAAACATCTCTAAAAACAAACTCACGATAACTTTTGGGCGTCCCCTATGGCGCCCAATAGAGCGCGAAACGGACAGAACGCTTCCCCCTCATCTAACGCTGTTGGGCGCTATGGGTCGCTATCGGGCGCCAGTCGGGTGCAATGTAGGCACTGTCGGGGGCTATCTGGAGCTATGGGACGCTACAGGGCGCGATTCGCCGATGTACACACATCGAACTGGTCCAAAACGAGGGGACGCCAGTATTCTGTTATCTGAACTAGTGCCACATCCTAGTCGACCCTCCGTCGATTAAGATTAGCGGATCGGCTCGGGATTGCACTGGCGCGGTCGAGAGCCAATATCCAGGGAACCAGTGCAGACTGCATCGGTCGACTGGTCTGGGCGGGCGTCCTCTCAGTGTCCGACTGTGGGTCGTTGGGGCCCTCGGGGGAAGAGTCCTTCACGATCTCTCCACATTCTTTAGTCGGAAGAATGCTGAAGTGCCAACGGCCCAACGCGTGAGGTGGAGACGGTTCGGGTCGATGGGCGCAAGCCAACCCAGCAAGCCACGCTTGGCCGGTACTCTCAAGCGACGCACCACCTGTTCCCTCGGCGGTGTTCTGGGGAGGTGGAGGGCGAACTACACGCAGACAGTCACGCAACATCAATAAGTCGATGTGCAAGTGTATCTGGAGAGACTCACGCAGCATCAAACACGCGAGTGGCAAGTGTACCTGGAGAGGCTCGCCCCGTCCTTTTCCCCCCATACCAATCAGGATTGTATCGCTGGGATGAGATGCCCGCGGGGCACCTGCTGGCCTGTCGTCTCACGTGACGCGCCTAATGCTGGGAAGAAACTCACTGAAGCTGTTGGTCGTCCCCATGGCGCCCAGTAGCCAGTGGCGCGCCCAATCGCGCGCAGAGCAGACATTAGAACTGGCACGTTTGGGCGCTATTGGTCGCTATGTGGGTGAAAGTGAAAGCTGTTTGGCGCTATTGAGCGCTACTGGGCACTGTCCGCCGATAGCCACACATGCAACTAGTGCAAGACGGGTGGGGACTTCCGTGATCTACTATCAAAATCTAGTGTCTCATCCGAACGTGTCTCATGACGGCGTCGCGTCTACAGCCTGCCATCTCTTTCTACTGGTGTCTCACCCAATACTTCGGTGCCTCGTCTGACTTCGGCTGGCCGCTATTGCTGCACCCGGTGAAACCAAAAGGTACTGATACCGCTACTTCCCAGACCTCTCTCGGGGTGCGTCCCGAACAGGATTTCGAGGCGAATCCAGCGGTGGCGACGAAGGCCCCCCCCCAGGAGGGCGACAAACGGTTAACCGGGCGAAATGGGTAGCGGTATGTGTCGCTTTTCCTCGATGACTACGTGGCGGTTCGGGTGTCACCCCATTGAACATGCCTACTCAAAAGTTGGTGAGAGTTGGGGGGCCAAGTCGCGAGACGGGCGACGGGCAGCGCGGCCCAACGCACAGGACCCACTGGGACGCAGAAAGACATGCTAGCACGACAGGTTCTCGTTAGAGGCGCGCGTCCGACCCTGGTATACCAATCTTGTAGTGTCGTTTCCCGAGCGGTGTGGCTAGGAAGCGCCAGCCACGACGCATGTACTATGCTATTTCTCGCTGCCCGCGTGCCGCACACATTGCATTAGTGTGTTAAGGTGGAGGAGACCCAAGGATAGAGGCCTCCTAGATGGGGGTCCGAGTAGATGGGGTCGGAGGAACTCGCCGCATCGCCGATACATCGGCGATGCATCGCCAATACACTAGGGATGCATCGGCGATGCACTGGCGAGGTGGGCGATGCATCGGCGTCGTCGGCGTGGAGAGCATCGGCCTCCACATCGAGGCGCATCGCCGATGCATCGCCGATGCCTCGGCGATGCGGCGCGAGCCTCCGACCCCCGTCTGCCCAGACCCCGCCTGGGAGGCCTATAGAGCAAGACCCCGCGGGCTCTCGCGGGCCCTGCACGACCGGGCCTCCCCGCAGGGAGGGCGACCACGGCCACAGCCTCCGGGGGCGACGATACGGGGCGAGTAGCCGAGGGGCGGGCCTTTTACACGCATTCGCCTGGGAGCCTTGCCGAAGACATGGATCATCGGCGCACCTGAGTACATGTATTGCTCTCCCCTGGGCCATTCGCCCCTGTCGTCGCCTCTGGACAGCGTGGCCGGCCCTCCCCGCCCCGCCCGATTGGGACACCCGAAGTGGGCGCAGGAAAAATGGGCACGATGCCCAACAACAAATGCTGTCCCAAACCAACCAGCGGCCGCTGTTGGGCAGGCGGCCTTCTGTCTCGAACGGGCACAGGCCGCGGCGGCGCGGACAGCGAGTCCTGTTCAAAATGAACAGGAACTGCTGTTGGGCATTGAGGAAAACAAAAAGTACCGATACCACTACCCCCTGGACCTCTCCCGGGGCGCGTTCTGACTAGGATTTCGAGGCGAACCCGGCGGTGGCGACGAGGGCCTCCGAGGAGGCCCGACAAGGAGGAAGCTGGGACGGGGTAGAGGCATGGGTACCAATCCCCTCCCCTGAGGCATTGTCCCCCGCCGAGGCCGACGCGGCGACGACGGCGGCGTCGCCGCCGTCGGGGCGCGGCGGCGGGGGCGCGGCGCGCACCGCGCAGAGGCACCGCAGCGCCGCGCTGGCCCGCCCCGAGGCCGAGGCCGAGGGCGAGGGCCCCCGCCGAGGGCCGCCCTCCCGCGGAGGGCCCCCGCAAGGGCCGCGGGCGGGCTCCGCCGCGTGCCCGGGGGTGGCGGGCGCGGCGCGCGCGGCTCCGCCGCCCCGGGGGGGAGGGGGGGCCGCCCCGACCAGCGAGGGCGCCCGGGGACACCAAGGCAAACCTGGCCATCGCTCGGACGTCCATTCCCCGTGTTTTTGTCGGTTTCGTGCGTGGTCTTTTCGCCAAATGATCAAGGATGCTCCTCGATGGTCCCCGCCGAAGGAAAAATGCACACGTCCGAGCGATGCCAAGAAACGGGTACAGACCCCAGGAGTCCCTGATATGAACTCGGGCGTGTCCCCCACACAGGGGGATTTGGGGCGAAAAGGAACAGATACTCAAAATATGCCCCCCAAATGGGCAAGGGTAGTAACAAAATCGTCCCCATGTGATGGTTTCAACTATGTTTGAATTTTCCTCCTGTAGAGGGACAGGCCCGACTTCACCTGAAGATCCTTTCCCACATTTCCGAGGGAGTCCCATCTGCCCCTCCACTTCCCACCTTTTCCCATCTTCTCTGGGGGGTCGACGATCCTTTGTCTGCGCTGTTTTCCCTCCTGAACCAGATGAGACGGAGCCAGGACGAAGATGACATCGGGCGAGGTCAGATTTGGAATCTCTGCGATCCAGCGGCTCTGAAAAATGTCTCGGGCTCCGCGGCGTTCTTAGAACGTTCAGGAACGCTCTGAGAGCGTTCCGGAACGCCCTGGAACTGATTTATTATCATCCTAGCCATGTCCGAAAGACCACCCTCGCGCCGGGAGACAGCTCATGACCGAAGGTGTTTCCAATTCTCCAACGAACGGCAGATTCTATCCGTGTCCGCGCCGTCTCTGGATTCCGGGGCGCGATCCCGCGGATACGCGGACGCACGGGCACGTTCCGCGCGGGGCATCCGCGCAAAAAACGCTCCGCATCCATGGGTTCGCGGCCCAGGGGCCCGGCCCGCGCGGCCACGGATACGCTTTCGCGCATGCTTCTCGGCCTCCGGGCCTTCAGTAGGCCTCGGGGCCGCCCCCACAACGGACTTCGTATCATCAATGGGTCCCCGACAAAGAATCCAGACCGCTCCGCCGGAGGCCCATGGAATAGACAACTCACGACGGTAGGGGGTTTGGGTAGCGGTAGCAGGGGAGGAGGAACAGCACCGCAGCAAGGTGCCTGCCTTCGGGCATCACGCCCCCTGCTCATCTCTGCGCCCTCGAGCAAGCCCCCCAGAGAAGGCCCCCCTCCCTCCGCAAAGGCATGCGAAGCGCGGTGAACTGCGCGCGCCAGGGGGGGCACCCAGAAGCATGAGCAAGTGGAGGATGAGGGACATGTCTGGCAGCTGGGAAGTGGACACTCGGGTCGGGCGAAAGGGGGGGATAGCAAAGAGGGGGGTTGAGAATCAGCTCACGTAGCTGATTTTCCCGGCGCCTCCCGGCGCTGGAGGCGGCTATGTATCGAGGCATGGGCCCCTGGGTGAGGCCCCCCCTTTCCCAATCCCCCCCCTATCGTCCGGCCCGAGACACCGTCACCAGGTCAGGGCCTTGCCTCCGACAGGGAGAAGCGATCCTGGAGCCCGCTGCTGGTGGAACGCTTTCGGTTACCCAGGAAGCCGAATACGATCACCGTCACCGAGATCGGGATCGCCTCACCTCGGCAGCACACCGCAGATACTGGTGTTAGTGCCAGCCTCTGGGCCTCCGACATTTGGTTTGCTCACCACGCGCAACTATCCTTCTGGCCGAGTGGCCACTGAGAGCGCAGCCGGGGGGGTACTGCTGCTCCTCCTCCTCCTCTTCTTCGCCGGCAGCCTCTTCTTCTTCCGCCTCTGGTGCGGCGCCGCCTTTCGCCCATCCCTTGAGGTGCGCCTTCGGAGGTCCCCACAACTGCTCGCACCGCCTGTCGCCCTCCCCTTTTTATCTTTTCTGCCCCCCTCCCCCTCCCTGCGTACTCCTCCCCCTCGTCTCTCCTCCTCCTCCTCCTCCTCCTCCTCCTCCTCCTCCTCCTCCTCCTCCCCCTCCTCCTCCTCCTCCTCCTCCTCCTCCTCCTCCTCCTCTTCCTTTTTTCCTCCTCCTACCCCCCGATCTCCCCCAGCATCAGGACAACGGCGACGACGTTGCATCGGCCTTCAGAGTCCGCGCCGACCACGACGGCTTCTGCGAAGCTAACCGTTCGACGCGACACTTTCCCCGCCACGTGGGCTTCGGCTTCGGAGAAGGTGTGTGGTGTTAACGCGAATGGTAAGATTACGTGATATTGCGATATCCCTCATGCATGCGATCCGCTTTGCCTGATGCACATCGCACCGACACCCGCAATGTCGACCCTGTGCGTGTAACGAAGGTGTGCTCAACACTTGAGGATGAAGCATTCAAACACATGTCTTCGAGAATCTGGACGTTCCAGACTGACGGTTTGAACGTTCGGGAATTATGGTATTGTTTTCCGATGGCTGATGCAAAACGAAGTTTCGGAGTTTTCGGAGCTCTGGCGGGCCTTACAGCATTCCTGCTTCCAAATTCTGCGGATTCAGAAATTGCCTTTTGGCATTGCATCATGACTTCGGAAAAAAAACAGCATGCCTCTCTTCGCAATCATGTGTCTGGCAGATTGAAAACCTTGGATGCTTGTTCTGCCTCGCCGTTCCGGTTGGTCGACGGCCGTTTGGGGCACTTGGGCGGCGGTCGTGCACTTTGACGCCGTCTAAGACGGGCGTCACGCAGCCAGCGCACTGAACTCCAGAGCGTCGGCGGCGAGCGGGGGGGTGAAGTGAGAAGGAGAAGGCCTTCTCATACGGCGGCGGGCCTGCTCAGAGGCTCTCGCGCCTGCTGAGAAGTGCTCTGTGTCTGCCGGGACGGCTTGGAGAAACTCCTCAAGAGGCCAGGGAATGTCCGAGCCCTCTGAGAATAGGCCCGCCCCCTCTCGCTCCCCCCCCCCCTCGCGCGCCGCCGAGAGCGGCCGCCGCAGATCTACCATCCCAGGTTGCAGCACCAGCGATCCCTGGGAGCCTGGGCCTCTCGACCCCCTCCGCGGGAAGCAGGCTTCTAACCCCCGGGGGGCCGCCTGTGGCCGCCACGGGCCGACGCGGCCCTCCGGGGACTACCTCGGAGCGACGATCGTGGGCCCGACGAACGTGGCCCACAACGAATGCATACGCAACGCCGGCTGGCCGGCCAGGGAGCTCACGGTACATACGCCCCAGCTGCCCAACCCGCGGGACGCCGGGACGCTTGAGCGTCCACACGCCGAACTCCTTCACCGAGCTCCTTGGCCGACCAGGCGACGTGGTGAACTCAGTGCTCCATCAATACTTCTGGGATGCAGGAGGTCTGGAGAGGGTACGCATAGTCTGGGGGAGAGTTAGTGTAGTCCGGGGTGGGGTAGTCATAGTCTGAGTGCAGGTACCAAAAGCCAGGCGGGGAGGACGCTGGCCGCATAAAACGGTCGCGCGAGCGCGGGTGGTACGGGGGGTACCTGTAGACCAGGGGTGGTGGAGGTACCGATAGTCTGGGGGGGTGATGAAGCAATAGTCCAGGGGCGGGGGGGTGAGGGCCATAGCCTGGGGGGGATCGATAGTCTGGGGGGTACCTGTGGCCCAGGGGCACAAAATTTTTGAGGGACCAGACCGCCGCCGCGACCTTGCCCACGACGCGGGAGCCCCGAGGAGGACGACGCTGGCGGCGGCGGCGGCCGCAGCGGCGGCGGCCGCAGCGACGGCGGCCGCAGCCGCGGCCTTCGGGGGGGCCTTGCCCCACGTCTTCGCCGGGGGCCCGGCCGGCCCGCTGGCCCCAGCGGCGCCCTTCGGTGGCACCGATGCCGCCTCGGCGGGGAGGGCGAGTATGAGGAAGGCGGGGGAGGGGCGGGGGGAGGATCGAGGAGGTCGGGGGGAGGGAGGAGGAGGGGGGGGAGGGAGGACAGGGATCGGAAGGGGAGAGAAGGGGGGCATGGGGGGCGGAGCCCCGCCTGGGGGAGGAGGGGGAGTAGTGGGGAGGAGGGGGGGAGCAGGGGGAGGGGATGGTAACACGCGCTGGGGATGGGGAGGGAAGGGAAGACTAATATGGGGGGAAGAGAAGCGGAAAAAGTCAAGGAAGACGGAGAGGAGGGGGAGAGTGGAACGATGCCATGAACTGCGTAGGAGAGGCAGAGAAGAAGGCGGACGAAGATGAAGATGATGACGAGGATGTTGATGATGAGGAGGAGCAGGGGGACGATAATAATACATATGATGGTGACTGTGAGGGCTGAGGACGAGGAAGTGGAGGAAGAGGGGGGCGAAGGATTTTGACAACTCGCAAGGAAGAGAGGAAGATAAAGAGGGGAAGGAGGATGCCACGCGTCCAGAAGAGATCAACATTGACGGCAGAACGCATGGGGCAATAGTGGGGGGCGATAGCCAGAAGACAGAGCGGGGGACCCCGCCAGCCGAGCCAAGGGCGCGGGTGAAGCGCAGCAGGTCGGCGCAGGCGGCACCAACTCGTGGGCCCCCCAGGAGGCACCTCACCGCGCGTAGCTCAGCGCTGGGGCACCAAGAGCTCGTCGCAGGAGGCACCATTGGGCTGCCAAGGGAAGCCCCCTAGCAGGTGACTGCGGGCTGCCCGGGGAGGCCCGCCGGCAGGCGGCCTCGTGCGCCTCGAGGAAGCGTCCTGGCAGACACCGGATGGCATCTCGCGTGGGGGCACCAGCGGCACCAGACCGTGGGCCTCGTGGGGCCCTCGCCGCCCACCCGCTGCGCGGGCGGAGGCGACCCCTAACCCAGCCGCCCCGATGCGCAGCACGCAACCCGCAACGTGCCGCCGCGGAGCTCAACACGCAGACCGAGTACGCAGGCCTGGCGCGGTGCGCTCGCCAAGATGTGGGCCAACACGGTGAGCCAGCACGCCACGCGTCCACGCGGACCTTTTCGAACACGGCACGCGCTGCGCTGCGAGGCGGACGCACCAGGGCGGCCAGAGGCCCCCAAGGATCCCGCCGCGCACCTCGCGGGAAGGCGCGCTGGACCTCTTCCCGGGTCGGGCTCTACATCCTGGGCGTTCGCAGCGAGAGGGGGCCCAGCTCCACGGGGCTCCCCTGGGCGCCCCCGGGCCGTGGGCGCACCCGGCCCAGGCTGGGACTTCACTGCCCAGCACGCCTCGCCACAGACGTGCCGTCGGCAGCGCCGCCCTCGGCGGCGCCTGCCTGGCCGCCTCTCGCCCGTCGGTAGGCGTTTTGCCACGGACGTGGCATCCCAACCATGTCGCGCTACACCAGGCCGCTGCGCGCGCGGCGTCTCAAGCAAGACCGCCCACTGTCGCGTCTGGATGCATCGCAGGATGGATAAACCATAGCTTGCTCTGACGATGACGCACATGATGATGAGGGTAAAATCAAATAAAATGTATACGATGATGGTGAGGATGATGATGCGGATGGTCATTCTGGTCATGATGATGGTGATGCTGATGGGGAAGAAGGAAGAAGCGCAAGCCTTCGAGAGAGTCTTGAGCGGCGCCACCTGGGCCAGCACTCTCCTCATCCTGCTTTCCCCTCCTCTTGTTCCACGTCCCCCTTGCGTTCCTTCCCCATCCTCCATGCTACGTTCTCTACTCCATCCCTGTCCCCCCTCCTCCCCTGGAAGACTCCTCCATGTCGGGCCCCAGATGTGTAGGTAGGGCGGGATTGGCGTGTGGACTGAGACGTCCTCACAAAGTATGATTATGCCGCTTGGAATTCGCAACAGCTTCACGGATAGAGGGGGAGGTCACAATGGAGCTCTGGCCGTGGCGCCGCGCAGATTCGTTCCGATACCTATGACAGTGTACAGGGATGGAGGGCGATGGAGTTGTCAGAATCGGGCTCTCGCCCGAACGCCGCGCACGTCCACCTTTAGCACTTGCGACGGTTGCATGGGTGGAGCGCGGCTCCTTCTCAAGACAAGGCTCTCGCCTTAGCGCCGCGTTCGTTTCAACATCTTGCAGAAGGCGCCTGGGACTTCCGAGGTCAAGCCACCCAAAGCTCCAACAGACGTGGCAGCTGCACGGACGGGGGGGCCTTTTCGTCGGGGGACTCTCCCCTTGGACGTTCTCGGGGCTTCTAACCAGGCAGCCTTAATCTTGTAAAGCGGTCGCGCGCGTGGGCGCGGTCCCTCTTCAGCACGAGGATCGCGCTGGACGCCCTGTTGGACTGCATGTTAATAATTCCTTCGCATTCCTGAGTACGCGCTAGAGGGATGCAAGGCTGCTCCTGTTCAGAACGGGGTTCTCGTCTGAATGGCAGGACAATGTGGTGCTGGTCATTCAAGAGGGGGGCGTCAAGCAGGGAGAACAACATTCAGGAAAGACTTCTGAGGAGGGATCTTGGGACGGCATGTTGGGTTTACTCTTGTCCACTTCCTCCTCCTCCTCCTCCTCCTCCTCCTCCTCCTTCACCTCCTTGTTACCCTCCTTCTGCATACACTTCCTTTCCGAATTCTCCGCCACTGCTAACCTCCTCCTCCCCTCCCCTTCCCGAACCTTCCCCTCCTCTGTCCGCTTACCCCCCATCCTGCTGCACATCCGCCGTGCCTTCCTGCTCCTTCCCAGCCTCTCTCCCTCCTCTTCTTCCTCCCTCCCTCCTCCCCCTTCTCGTCCTGCTTCACCCCCCTTGGACGACGCCACGTGCCTTCCCCACCAGCAAGGAGGGCGGCCCCGTCGGCGGCTTCGGGGCGCCCGCGCCCTTGGAGAGCACGGGCGACTTGGCGGGGGCAGCCTTCGGGGGGCTCCTCCTCCTCCTCCTCCTCCTCCTCCTCCTCCTCCTCCTCCTCCTCCTCCACGCTCGCCTACAAAAACACATCGCACCACGCCGTTACGGGCCACACCGTTTTACCCGCCTGTGGCTCGTCGCCTTTGCCCCACCTCGCCCCCGTTGCAGTCGTCCTCCGCCTCCTGCTCCTCATTCCCCTCCCTCTACTCCAAGAGTTTAGGCCAGACGCTCTGAAGAGGGAAGCGCTGAGTCCTATTTGGACGAGTCGCCAGATCACGAGTGATGCAAGCTCAACGCGATGCACGGAGTCCCGTCCACGAAGCCGGATGCTGAAACTGGAGGCGTGCGGGCTACTCGTTTCTGGGGGCGCAGCCCCGCAAGCTGCTGCGCACTCGAAGGGGACGATGCAGCTGAACACCGCAGGGTCGACGTCCACCCGCATGCGTGTGGCACGCTACGGCACGTGACAGACGGGTGCACGCTACATATTGCTGTGCGGTGTTCATGCCAAGCTCCTTCGAGATGGCCACTGTAGGGCAAACAGCGTTGACGTTGAACTCATCCTAACTCCCACCAGGGAAGCCTTGGCCGCGCTGGTCGACCTTGCCACCCCCCAGGCAGGGATGCCACTCCTTCGGGTTTCGCAGCGCCCATTCACACCTAGAGGGGATACGCAGGGAAAGCTAACTTACCCGGTCTTGGTTCTGGCGAGAATGATTTCTAGCGAGAAACATCAAGCGGAATCGGGCATTGAGGACGTCTCGGCTCCTGGAACACCGAGGGCGTGCCATCATGGCCTGCCCTTGTCGGGTGGACACGGCCTCGCTGTACCGTGCAATTCACAGGGAGCTCCAACGACACTCACGAAGGCCCAATGCGTGACATCCTCACAGCAAGGGTATGCAGCGGGCACGCCGAATAAGAACTGCCAGCAGGTCCACCACATCAATTTCATATTGTCCGAATGCACCCGTGGGCCCAAGCTGGTCCTTGGGGACCTTTACGGAGCTCAAGATATAGATGGATAATCCTCTCCCACACTTGCGACACTGTTGTGTTGTCGTATGCACCTACAGGTTACCTACTGTCTACTTCCTTTCGCTTGGGGGACAGGGATTCGTGATTTAACAGGCCGCTGAACCTCCCATAGCCTCGGGCCTGGTCTTAAAGCTGGGCGCCGCGTCCGACTTCAGACACCCAACTGCCCGACTCTCATCCCTGGTGCGCTGTTCCCCCCTCAATTCCTCGGCATCCTACAGCGACGATGCTGAGTTTCGCGAGGCGCCCAAGGGCTTTGCGTCCAATCGGGAGATTTGGACATTTCGCGGGGCATCCATTGGCAGGCCAATTTATCATTTAGTGGGTCCCTCTGGGTGGATGGGACGACATGGGGACCGTGGTCCCACCAGGAGCCGCGGGGAAACAGGTTTCCTGGTACGTTTAGACGCATGCATGCGTGCGTTGACCACGTCACACTTGCGCACCACGTTTCGACGTCCACACGCTACGACGATGCGGATGAGCAAGGCCCGCGTGGACCAGCCCCTGCGCCCCAACCCGAAAGGCTGGCAAGCGCTGGAGCACACCCGGCACCTCAGCAGAGCAGCTCCGTCCACCAGGCCCACGCGCAGTCCCACCAAGAATCGGGAGCTAAGGGCCCCAAAACCGGCCACCAGGGAGAACACACCCAGGCGACAGATGTACAGCCCATCGTTCGGAGACGGGCCCGCATGCAACGCCCGCTCGCTCTTCCACCGTCCGAGGAAGCACAAGGCGACGACGACTCTTGAGGCAGGGGGCTATCGGGACCCTACCCCAGGCTCCAGGCCTCCTACCACGCATGTTAGACAGAGGCTCGACCAAAGTACGTAGTTCAGCCCCTGCCTCCAATTCCAGGATCCTGACACTAGCTGCGCCCCCAACGCCAACGGACTCAAAAGAAACCCACCCACTGCCCGATGCTATCGCACACCCGGCTCAACCACTACCGCGTCCCAACAGGTCACGGGGGCTCACGGCCCGTGTACCACCCGCCAGGGATCCGCACGACTCCAGTGCAGATCACCGATCGGAGACGTGCCATCACGCAACGCCTCATGTTAACCAGACAAAAGGCTGACCTCGATCACGGGACTGCCCCCGCCTCCAGGATCACGACGCTGCAACAGTGTGCCACCAGGCTCGCCCATACCCGACCTAACATCCAAAAACTTTCAGGACTCCGTCGTGACAGACTTCAAAGAGCGCGGTCCGCCTGGAACGACCTTCGACAGACCTCCCGATCGCGTGCTCACCTTGGGCTCTCCCCGAAACAGGTCTCCAGGAGCGCCTCCATACTCACCGCTAGCACACTAGCGCTCGCCTCTCCACCTCCGTTTGTCGGATAAGCTGGGCCTCTTGCTTTGCCAGCCGCCGACGCTCATCGCGCAGCACATGGGCTCCAGGACCCAAATTTTTTATCGTGCTGCTCGCATTGCTGGCGCCTCCGACCAGACGATTGATGACATTGAGGAGTTTGAGCTTGAGTTAAAAGATGAACTCGAGGCCGCCAACAAGTTCTTCGCCAAGCAGGCCCGTGATGACTGGTCTGCCTGGCTGCACGTCGGCGTCTCTTCGGGCTCGCGGCGAGTCCATCAGATCACCCGAGATCCCTCCCCGTGGACCCCGACCACCACGCTTAGCGCCAAAGGTTGCACCGTGTCTGACCCCCTCTCTTTGTTGCGGGCTGAAGGTGCTCGCTTTAGTGCTGCGTGGGGCCAGGGTTTGGGGGCCGTGCCTTCGGGGGTTATCCTGGAGCCTCTTCCTCGTCTCAGCGTCGGCGAGATCAGAGCCGCCTCGAAACAATACAAGCCTGGTTCGGCCGTGTCCCTGGACGGGTTCCACTGCCGTCACTTCTCGCTCCTGGGAGATCCAGCGCTGGAGTGTCTCAGCATGATTTTTGCTCTCATTGAAGCCTTGGGTTGCCTGCCCCCCCAGATTTCGGTCGTCCTGCTTGCTCTCCTCTCGAAGCCTGCTGGAGGCTACAGGCCGATCGGGGTGTTCTGCTCCTGGTACAGGGTCTGGGGGCGTCTCCGTCGCCCCCTGGCCCTGGCCTGGGAACAGCAACACCCCAGACGGTACTGGGCCGCTGGCAGACATCGAGGGGCGGCCGACGTTGTGTGGAGACAGGCCGTTCGGTCTGAAGCAGGCGTCAAGAGTGGAGATGCCGCCTGCAGTGTCCTTTTCGATCTTCGTAAGTTTTACGAACACATCCCCTTGGCCGCCTTGCAGGAGAGATGTGCTCGGCATGGGTTCCCGCCCGTCATAGCTAGGGTGGCCCTGTTTGCTTACCAGTGTGGGCGCTTTCTCAGTTTGGGAGGCATCGTTGAAGGCCCCTTTTTTGTTTTGAGTGGAGTGGTGGCGGGCTGCAGCTTCGCCACTACCTTCATCCGTGTCCACGGGATGGAGGGTTACGACAGGATCACTCGCCAGCCCAGACTTGAGCTCGATGTTTACATCGACGACCTAGGCCTCTCGTGTGTGGGCCCCCCCTCGAAGGTCATCGCCTCTGTGGTCGGTTGTGCGCAGCAGTTGAAGGGGGTGGTGGAAGAGGTTTTGGGTTGTAGCTTCGCTCTGGACAAGACCTGTATTGTTGCCTCTTCGCGTGCCGTCGGGGAGCAGGTCTCGTCCCAGTTGGCTGAGCTCTCGACCCAACCCTCATCCTCTGCTGTCAACCTAGGTGTCGACTACACAGCTGGTCGCGCCCTCAGGGTCGGAGGCCGATGTGCCAAGCTGAAGTCTAGGCTAGCGGCCGCCTGTAGGCGCACCAAGCGGCTTCGCAGACAGAATAAGGTGCTCAAGAGGGGCGCCATCATTAAGGTTTTTTCGGCTGGCCCTTTGGCCGGCGCCAGCTACGGGAGTGAGATCACGGGGACCTCCGATCATGACCTCCTTCTCCTTCGCAGGAAGCTTTTCGGATCGGTTCGTCCTCTCTCGAAGCTTCGTTCGCTCACCACCTCGGCCATCCTCGATTCGGACCCTTGTTGGAGAACCGCGTGCTCTCCCATTGTTCGGTGGTCGAAGGAAATCTGGCTGTCTCAGGTGGGAGAGTTCCCCTGGGCGATTGGCCTCCCCGAGCTCAGACGAGCTTGGACGAACATTTTTAGCCAAGAAGCGTGTTCCTGGCGCAGTGTGGCTGGCCCCCTCTCCGCCCTGCGCATGTCTCTCTCTAGGATTGGTTGGGTGATGACGGATTTCATGACCATCAGAGATGACCGTGGCTTCGTCATCCCCCTTGGTCTGTTCTCCACCGCCCTTGTCAAAAAACTGTGCAAAGAGGCTTACTTGCGCATGTTGGAAAGAGACTCTGCGGCCAAGCGAGGGGTTAAGCACAGGCTTTGTTACGACATTGTCAAGGAAGCTCTTGCCAGCAGCAAGTTCAGTGCTCTCGAGAAGGGGAGGATCCGAGCCTTCGCCACCGAAGCTTTCCTCACTAAGGAGCGTGCGCTCCAGCTCGGCTACCAGACGGATGTGGGCTGCCAGTTCTGCGGGGAGCCCGATAGTATGTTCCATAGGCTGTGGAAGTGTCAGGGGGAGAGTATAGTGGAAAAACGCAACGCCTTGGTCAAGGCTGGAGAGATAGAGGCCGCGCTCGAGGCTGAAGGTGGCGACAGGTCTGCTTTGCTCCCGTTTATCTCTGGGGCTTTCGCCCATCCCGCCGACTTCAGCCCGAAGCCCGCGACGGATGCCGATGATGGTCTTATGGTTGTGTGGCATGACACCGATCAGGTCTCCCCTGTCGGCGGCCCCCTAGACAGGCAGCTCTGGGGGTCCCTTTTCATTGACGGCTCGTGCACTCGGCACCCCATCCGTGAACTTAGTCGGGCTGCGTCTTGCGTGGCCATGGTCGACTCTGTTGGTAGGTGTGTGGCCGAATTCAGAGCCCCTGTTTGGGCGCCCTATCCTCAGACCCCGCAGAGTGCTGAGTTTTCGGCCTACACGTGGGCCCACATGCTCGGCATCCCAGG